AAGTTCTACATAGTCGAGAGAACTAAGAAGTAAAACAAAAAAAGTCAAGTAAAATTTTGTCGATACGCAAAAATAGGACAGCTATAATATAAAATAAAATCAGCTAATGTATCATCAAAAAGAAAGAAATTATAAATGAATCAAAAGCCTACTCTGAACTTCAAGATCTGTTCGCCATTGCGACCCTGCCCAACAGTAACGTCGCCTCGATCGGATAGGTGAGCAAGTATAATGTCAAAGTTCTCCTTAAATGTGCTGTGTACACGAAACACGAAGCCAGTCTTCGAAAAAAAAAGCTTCAAAACTTCAAAGGAGCACCTTCGTACGGACAATATCAGCAGCTCTATCATAGAAGGTGGAATACGCCACGATACTACCCGCTCCATCAATTTCTGATTGGAACTCATCGCAATACAACTTCATTAGATTATCTGCTTGTACCTGAACAAGAGACCAAAATGGCAGACCTAGCACATCTGATTGTGAAAGTGAAATGAAGAACGACGTACAAGTGATGATTCAAATTAAGTCTGGTATTTTTTGGGATACAAGTTCATTCTAGCTCTCACCTTTATAGTGGGCAGATGAATGAAGCGTTCAGAAGTGGTAGACGCCGTATTTCCAAAAAGCCATCCAGAGGTTTTGCTCAGCTGTGAAAATCCCCAACCTACCCATGAAGAATGCTGTTCTTGCCATTTCGACAAAGGCATTAACACACCATATCTAAATTTCTATTAGTATTAGTTCACAGAGATGAAACGTAAAATCAAATTTCCGAAAAGCTCAGCGCAATCAGTCCTGAGTACGGCATAGAATAGAGGCTNCAGCCTGTACCGGTCCGTGGGGCTCTAGCCCCTCCCCTTTGTCCTTATATATTCTCATTTCCACGAAATACTTCAAGATCTGGACACATAAAGAGAGTATGAGACGAACTTGTTCAAATGCTCCACAACGACATTCATGCTCGAGGGCACCTGATCACCTCGCCGGAATCGTTTCTTCAGCGAATCAACACTTATAATTGCATTTCCCTCGATTTCGCATGACTTTGATATCAAATCGGTCCAGAACTTGATTTTCCGATCATGGTCGATAGGATTTATAGCACGAGCCTGAAAATGAATCCTTCTCAGTAAACATCCTGCACGAAAACGGACAACCTAGACTTGCTTCAATAGGATTTTCCTGAGATTCATGACCTCTATCCAAATCCTATCCCCGAATACTAACGAAAAAATTGAGATTTTTTAAAATAATCATGCAAAGCAATTAGGATCTAGAAATAAAGCCACGATGGCCACTTCGCTTCTTATTCCTTAAATACTACTATTGCATTGAATTCAAATCTAATTCAGAAAATCTCACCTTTATAACACTCATATATCCCTGCATTGCCAAATCATCTTGCCAAAATGAAGGTAAATATCGCTTCGAGCGTTCCCCCATTTTGGCTCAAGCTCTGCTTCCGAGTTGAGACCACTGGTAGAGAATGCTCAACGCCTAACTCTGAGATCTGAATTAAAACTTCAGCTTTAACGTTATTAACAGAGAGAAAAATAAGGAAGATAAAAAGGATTCCAAAAAAAGTTGTATCTACACAAAATTCGACTAACAGGATAGAACCGGTCAAGAAGTGTCATTAGAGCGCCGTTTTGAAACACAAATTCGTGACTAATGCTGCTGTGCTGCTTCCATCGGCTGTGAACAAGAAACTCTATCATTATTGGCTTTCAATTGTCCTTCACTAGATTAATTTTAGCATAGTCGACAAAGTCGTTTTTTGAAATAGCCATCACATCCAGCAGAATCTAAAACAGTGAAGCAATGGCAATGTGTCTGGAATTTTTAGTTTGCACCAAACTAGTTCGCAACTCTATACATTTTCTTGTTTTCGTGATATGTTGATGTTTCCATTTCAATGTCATTTCTATGTAGTTATTCACTAATAATTGGATGTTCGCCAAATCAAATGGTCGTAGGGCTGGACGCGGGAGTTTTGAACGCTGTGTGCCGTTCCGCCGGGTTTTTTTTCTTTTTGATTCCTTAATTTTTTTATAACGATTAGTGGGATCAGTAGTTCGGTTAATTTATAAGTCAAAGTGTAGATAGATCTGTACAAAAATTGAAATCTCTCAACCTCAACTGCTTTATCTTCGTTTCGGGAATTCGTGGGTTGCTACAAATAGGATTCTCTGGCTAAAGACACTTCCTATAAATTAACAAATGAGTCCCTCTGTTATCTTCTGAGCAGGTAATTGTTTCTGAGGAAATACTTATGTAGGAGGCCTTTTGAAAACTCGGCAAAATCTGAGTCTTCTATCATTCGAATCCCACGCCTGGAACCAACTCGGCTTTTTCAAAAGCTGTTCTCTTTTTCAATTTTTATATACTGCCTCGAAAACTGCGGTCAGTTAAACTGTTCCTGCTAAGTGATTCACCTTTATAACGGTCCCGGATGGTCGAGTTGTCATAAGAAAAGCTCCCGCTCCTTCATAGTAAAGTCCGTGGGAAACCGCAAGTGCATGGGAGAATCGTTCGATGACGAACAATGGTCTCGTCGTCTATCAATCGATCGACTTGAATCAACAATATTGCTTTCAAAATATTATTTCTACTGATTGACTATACCATCTCTTGTATATTTTCAATCAGAAAGCAGGTCTCATGTGTTCCTACTAAACTAATGATGTAATTGGCGGAGTGATATTTGCATTTGAGTCCTTGTATTTCGCTTCTTTTTTCTCGAAGGTTTTATATAGATTCCCAATTGTGAACAGGAAATATAACTCTGATCTCGAAAAAAGGGTTAGCTTCGAACTTTATAGTACACCAGGCGGGCCCAGTTTTACATTGCCTCAGATGAGCAGATTTAAGGAGCTAAGGCAAGACCTAAGACTAGATCTTAATGTTTCTGTAATTAACCAAAGTTCTCCTCATGAGTTCAGGTGATCCTGAACGGGTATTTTGCCATCGGTTTTCCGCACCCAGAAGTGCCCCCTGAAAGTCTTTGGTATGGTTAGGGAGGTTTTTCTCATATTGTGATGGCCTCGACGCGATTGCATGAGTATTTTCCTGTCTAGACACGTTTATTTGGGCGGATAGTGAAGTGGAATTATTCCATGCGTCTTGTCTTATTTCTGCATCACATAGCTTCTGGTAGGTTTCTATATGAAGTAATGTTTATAGTTAGGGATTCATCAGATCTGTTACTAACATTAGATACGTATCGATTGGATGATTACATTATCTCGGCGATCGTTCCCCTTTTTTTGCCGCCACTGATGCTGATACCGAATTCCGCAAATCTATTCTTTACGATTTTCAAAATGTGAAGAACCCCCACCCCCACACCTGAGTTTCTTCTTTTTCCTTTTTGTGATCCTACAATGAAATTCATGATTTGACCTTTCGGATAATCGGTCTAATCTGTTGTTTCTTCGTGTTTCGCTAGACAATTCTTTGGAGACCATTAAGGATGCATTTCGTTCTTGAGTTACCTTAAATGTAAGTCCCGAAGAGCAGTTTTCGCACAAAAGTACCTAATTTTGTGAACGTCGAATTGGAGAATCTTTGGTCAACCGTTTTCGGTACTAATCCCATATGATCTGGCTCTCCAAGTAAATTTCTGTTTTCTTCAATTGTTCACTCCTATACGAGGGATGATTCAGGCACTGCCGGTGACGTCGTTCATCGTATACATGCCTCCCGCCTGGACAAAGCAAGCATTTAGTCCACGATCGTTATAATTTTGAAACGGCTGAGGTAAGCAAATGAGTTATTGATCGTTCTCAAGCAAACAAAAGCAAAGCAGCAACACCGCCAATTTAATTTCTCCTTTAATCGTTTTAGAAATGGCTTCATCTATCTCACAATTTTCCGAAATAGACTCATCGCATGATGATTGCGGTGAACAGGAGGATCACGACATCAAAATAGCGACACTTTTGAGTCATGGGTAACTACACCTTTTCTGCCTATACAATTGATTTATAAACAATTCTTTCTTTTTCCTTTTCATTCATTCTTCTTAGTTTCGAACAACCGGACGTTGAAATTGCTTTACGAAAGTCTAACAACGACGTTAGTAAGGCCTATAACCTCTTGTCTTTGAACAAGGAGCCTGTTCATGATGTTTTTTCTTCAGGTGATATATATGTTGTATCTCTCAGTGTTTGTTTACTGCTAAAATGCCTTTCTCAGTGTAATGTTTAGCTACTGAATGGAGCAACGAAGATCATGAAGCTGGTCCCTCAAGTGAAATTTTTCCGACACCCTCGTTCAGATGTGTACGGCGAGCAGTGAATAGTGATGTGTGTAGTATTTTTTCCAGTCATGTCTCTATCATGCGATGCATTGAGGTTATTTTATTTCACTATCATTTCGTATTCTTGCTAAAGTTTCGGCAGCAAGAAAATGGTTACAGGCCTCACAACAGTTGCTCACCAATAACATTTTTGATCCTGTATGTACTGAGTTCGTCGATTTTTACCTCCCCAAGTGTATTTCGCTGCACGTCAATCCGCCTGAGGTGAGTTTTACTGTGTTCATCGCGCCCAAAAAGTTTGTGAGTAGTGATTGGCGCGACTTGTTTGGTTCTTACGAAGTGCAGAGATATACTTCTCCTGAATGCACCTGCCGTGAAGAGATCAAAATTTCTGGCGTAGATTTAACTCTTGTAAACGTGCACTCTTGCGGTTTCACTATGTTGAATGACTGTTTAGAAACTGTCTGCTTTCAGCCGCTCTTCTTCAATGATGTCAATCTTGGCATAAGTGTCGATTTTTGTAAAGAAGTGGTCCCCCTGATATCCAGAAGGTGATTATGAACTATTTTCTTTATAACCTTTTCCGAATGATGGCTTTACTACCACGAATTTTTCCTGCATGAGAACCTCCGACTTTTGAATTTGTTTGATTTGATTTGAACACTTTTGTCGCAGTATTCTATAGCGGATCTTCGTTCGCTTTCAGCTGCTTTTAACTGTGAAATTAGAGGGACTACTCTCCGGTCAGGGGCTTTTTTGTCTCGCATGCATTGAGGAGTAGAATTGGGGATAAAATTAAGTGTTTTATGTGACTGGAAAGAGTATGAATGATGTCCTGCTCAGCTTTTTTAATCCACTTTATTGAGGTTCAGGTTATCCAAATTGCCCGTAGCTAATTCTTTGTGTCATTCAATGGCTGATCTATTCAATCCTCGCAATAAGATGTTCTGCGCATATCGCCGTCTTTCACCTTCAGAAGTACAGTGAGTATTTTCCTAAGATGACGTTCATTATGTACATTCATGTGCGGCTCGAATTAGAACCTTCGTTATCGTTGTTGTTCTTTACTATTCTTGTTCATCTTTGCCCTTTTATGAATTAGATGTATGTTGCGCTTTGTTCTGAGCAATGTTGTCGTTTGCGCAGAAAGAAGATTATTAGAAAAGGAAAGTAAAGAGCATTAGAGGAGTTATTACGAAAATTAGTTGTAAATTTAAGGCAGGAAGGATGAACTCGGAGAGGAGTTCTCGTTTTTAGTTGGTTCTTTCCAATTATAATTTTTTTTTNTTTTTTTTTCAGAAACCGCTTATTTGATATCCAAATAACTTATTGTGATATTAGGAAAACGATGAATGGCAAAGATCACACACATAGGTTGCTCCAAGTTGGTTATTCAAAATTTTGCTGCAACAAAGCTATGCTTGTTTATGCATCTCACTATTACATAAAAATGATACAGGAATTGATTGACCTCTTCATCTCATCCTCGGGATTTTCGAATGTCAATGAAGTTCTCCGAAACCACCGCGACGTCCTGACACCAAGAGTTAGTGTTCTTAATCTTGAGAATGAGATCACTTATCGTCGACCTAGATTTGTTTCCAGGATATTTTCGAGTTGCTCTGTGCAATAGATACCTTTCGAGAGTTTCTTGACTCAAAGAAGATGACCCATATATTGCTTTCAATTGTAGAAGGATCTCTCAATATAGTGAATGAAGTATCTGAAAAATACATACGTGATGGGGTAAGTAGTTTGTTTTCTCAGAATTGTTCTGTGTTAATTAGCATTTGACTACTGTACTGAATCTTACAATCTCCTCGACTGATATTTGGTTTGATTTCCCATTCCCACTCGAAAGGTGACCTTAGTTGTCGGTGCATTCCATTTTCTTATTTTCTAAAAAACANAAAATGGTATTGGTTGGAAAATTGCATTTGTCTTTTTTCCTTTTGTCGAAGTTAATATCCACCTTCCGAGAGAAAAGATTTGAACTCTTCGTATTAGTGGTATTACAGCAGTTAGCCTTCTGCTGAGAACTCTGTGTATAAGGCGATATTGCTTGCCCTTAGTAGGCTTAAACGCACAAAGGCCATAAAACCGAAAGAATAAAAGGTGTCATTTTTTAGCTCAGCCGTACTCACATAATGGATGTGATCGATATCTGTACAAAATGGATGGAGATGCTGAATGCGAGCTGCTTTTCATGTGATCATTGTCTGCTGAAATTCTTTCTACGTTGTATTACTTGCAACCAACTTGATGCCAAGGTCTTCGCTTTTCATGAGGTGCTCTTTCCACTCCCTTAGGTTACACCTAGTTTGCACATCTCTAGCCACGTTTTTGCTTAGCTAGGGAAACTGGTTGTGAAAAATCGACCGTATTCAAATGTCTTCGATATCAATCTGTTCAACTCATGGCTGAAGGATAATAACATACTCAAGCATGGTGAGTTAGGCTGCTTCTCCTGGACTGTGTCCATGTGTCGCTTTTCTCGCAATTTGAAAAAAATGTGCCGTTCTTCAGCCCTCCAAGGGAATATGGATCAACCAACCTATTTAGAGAAAATTAGGCCGATTTTGTCGTACATGACTTCGGAAATGTCAGCGAGTGACTTATGTAAGCCGATCTTTCTTTTTGGTGCTTTTACTTCCAAAACGCTCTTCTTCAGCGGGCGTTTGGTCTTTGCGAAAAGGCAGAATGGGAGTCTCAGCTGATAACTTTTCCACGATTCTTGTTCAAATTGGGAAAGGTCTGAATTGTGAACAAATTGGCTGGCTTGAACAGTTGTTTATCAAGGTGAGTTCATTCATCTCTCTGGGTCATTATAATGCATCTGACTGAAAACAAATTTCAGTGCTTTCACGCCAACGAAACAAGAATGTATGATAGGATATTCCTTTGTTGTAGGGATATTGGTATTTATTCAGAACATCCACAGATATCCGAAAAGGTAAACTACCCGATGTTCATTTATTAGTTAGTTTTATGAGAAAGAATTCGAGGTGATTTCATGGAGAGAAATCTTTTTTCTGCTGTTTCAGATGCTTTCAATAATGTGGAATTTGATTGGACTTGCTCGAAAGAAGAATTTTATGACTTTGAACGCTATCAAATGGTTCATCGAGCTTGTTTGCAACAAAAAAGACTTGATCATCAAGGATACTTATATAAGAAAGTGTCTCGACATACTCACCGTACAATCTGTATGTGCCGTTGAATTTCTTTTAGTTTATTTCCTGTTTTTGGTTGAACCGCGTGAAAACATTCTTTGTTCACTTTCTGTTCCTTTTCTCTGTCATCATAGGCACCACTGAACAGTCAGATTTTCAAAGTAACGGCGGTCAGCTTCTGGAGGTAACTGCCGATAGAATCCACCTACTTACCCATCTTCCTATCTTTGCATGGGGCATAGTTAGGAGTGGACCTTGGATGGGCCAGCTAGAGGATGGGTTCCTACAAATCTGCTGCTCATGGCTGGCTGAACGTCTGCTCGACTTGAAAGCAAAAAAAAACATGCATGGCTCAATTCCATGAAGCTTAAAGACGTCGCCAGTCCAACCTAAGAGTTGTATGTTCAGAAAACAAGAATTTTTGATGCATCTAGAAATATCCGATTTTGGTCACGAACATTTCATCCTTTTCTTTCACAGGGTCCTATTATTGTGTCAAGCCTTGTTATACTTCGCGAACTGCTAGAAATGTCCTCGAATATTGTTTCACAAGCAAAGAATTGTAAACCGAGTTCTAGAGGATTTAAGAGTCGCGATCAGTGGGCAGGTTTGTTCTTTTCTCGATTCCTCCTAATTCTTCAATCACTACAATTTTATGTTAAAGATCTCCATCGTCTGGAAACGAACTTGGATGAAGTGAAATCACTCCTTCGAGATAATAATTTTGCAAAAGTATTGTATGAAAAGTTGGCATCCTGTAAAGAACTTGCACAAAGTGAGTTCGAGTTTTAATTGCAAGAATGCTTTTGTGTCATTCTGCTCGAATAAGGTTCGATGTTCCATTTTCATGTTGCAGAGTCAGTGAGCGATGGCTTAGAAGTTTGCGAACATATTACTGCAGTTGTAATATCAGATGGTTGCACTTACTCGTTTGCGGTCAAAAATATACTTGCTGTATTTAAATGGCTTATTCAGAATCAGGTTTCGATCTATAACCTTCTCTTTTGTTTATATGAGAAAAAATTATCCTATTCGTTGAAAGTTTTGCCATTTTACTTGTTAAGGTAGTTGAATTTTCCAAGGAAATTTGGTGCCATCTTTGGGACACACTGTCGTCATCTGGTAGCAATTATTCATCCGAGATGGCGGTGAGTTAATCATATTTAGTTTTCTGTTCATGCATATCATAATATTAACCGGTGGGTTGTCGAATGTGGTGGGAACAAGATTCATTTGAGAGTATATATCTCAAAACAGTACACGCTCTTGAACTGGTTTGAGATGCTTACTTGTTAGAAAAGCTTGCACAGAAAGTAATAATTTCAGTTGCTGTTCGAATGGCTCACAGAGTTCAATGTTTACACTATTAAAGCCTCCACTGTAACCGCCTTACTTGAAAGTTTTTGTACCATACCTGCTAATAGACTCACACTGGATGGTTTGTTAGTTCTGTTCTTCTTACGTCGTTTACTTCTTCATAGAAAACTCGATGTGTAAGCTCTTTTACAGGTCTAAAAAGCTTATGTCATCTCATAGACTCGATCGACGACAGGCGGTTCCGTGATCAGGCAGGAAGTATTTTTCGTGAAGATCCTTTAGTACTTGTAAACGTTTTTCTTTATAGGCTAGTACACAGTGCTTAGAATACCTGTGGGAAGTTCTGGAAGTAGCAGAGAACAAGGAAATAGTTCGCGAAGTAATGCAGAAACTTATCGAGTTCGGTAAGACTTTAAAATCTATGTTGACTTGACGACAACCGCAGAGCCTATTAATGGCTAATGTACTGCAGGCAGCCGCAATAATGACTGTTCGCAATATCGACTATTTCTCTCTATATGTTACCAACGATTGGATAATTTGCGAACGTACGTTTCTCTTCAATTATCCTCTGTTTCCTTAACTTCTGTTGTGGCGTTTTGTGTGACTTTTCAAATATTAGGTAGAGTCCTAAGTCACAATGTGAAAGTGATGACTTCTAGAAATAATAACTCAGGGAAGAGATGATGAAAATGGATGCGCGAGGCATCTTCAGATAGAGTATGGAAAGCCTTCCAAATACATACTAACGAGTACATCTGACCGTTTCCTGCGCTTGAGCGTGAGGAGACAATATGCCATGGCGGCGCGGCAGTCCATGTCATACTGCTTCCAAGCATGAGGCACCCATCGACCGAGCTTTCGCCCCTTGTCGACTGACCTCAATCCACGAACAACTGTGGACCGACTCCCCAAGAAAGACTGCCAGTTCAGAGTAGTTTGGTACGGAACGGCTTCCACCTGGCTCCGCAACACGTCCAAATCCAATCCATTGAAAGACCCGCACGGTCTTCATCTTCGATGGAATAGTCGTCCGTCGTGAAGTTCAAGTGCCACTATTAAATTGTGCCTCTAGCAGGGACGTCCTCCATGTAAACTTTCTTTATTCATAGTTCGATCTCCGCGGGTTCTTGGCCAGACAAAAAAAGAAACAGGATGGTGTTGCCGAGGTAGAGTTGCGATGGCTTGAAATCAAGCGGCATGATTCCAGAAAATGAAGAAGTTAGATATGTTCACTAGTGTGAGTGTATTTGGAAGAGCTTTTTATACTCTATCTAACGATGCAATGCGCGCCCATTTTTGTCACCTCTTTCCCAATTATGATCACTAGGAGTCATCACTATCACTTTGTCCGAGGACTTATGACTCGACCTAATACATTTAATGGATTGGTTTTAATTTACTCCTGATCCTTGTTACTGGCTGCTAACGAACTGGTTCGTTATTCGGGGGTGATAGTACAGATTTTTTCATCGAAACAATAATATAGGCCTGAAGGAATAATGTGGGTCAACTCACTAACGTCTGGTTTTCCAGAAACCGTGACAACTATAGGTGACGCATAAATGTGTAGTATCACTTTTTGCAGTGAGTACTTTCGAAGGATTGGTCAGACGGCGTGTCCAAGTCCCAATCTTTCAAAGGCATCTGCAAGGTTAGTGGAATCGGTTTTTCTATACCGTGAATTTTTTAAGGCGTAGAACTTTTAGTTCGGATCAGCAAGAAGTTGAAGCGTTACGGAACATCTGCCGACGACCTGATTCGGGTTGCAAAGCAGATGTTGCTGAACACAAAAATTCACAAGAAACGATCTGCGAAACAATGTTCTCTTGTGGTTCCTCATCCCCTCCCAATCGCTCGGCATCGGAGCTCTCAGCGCTGCTTTTGCTTCGTGGTATAGATCGTCTCCTTCAGCTTATAGCCATCTTCGTGGAGTCTGAGGATAACCTTTTCTTCGTGAGTGCTGTTTGCTATTGTACCGATATCTTCATCTCTTAATTATGTGTTGGGACGTGTTTAGATGCCAAGACATTTTCCGCCTCACGGTGCACTTGTTCCGGGTCGCCCACTGCGTATTTACTGTCATATCGAGGATGACCCAAGCGAAGAGAATGCCCTCTTGTTCCATACAAACTCTCACGAAGCAATTGGACAGTTCCGTTCTCGGCTTTCAAACAGGTTACACTTTGTAAGTTTTTCTAACATTATTGTGATTTACCTATTCTCTTATGACTGCGGAGATTGCCGGATTTTCCTCTATGATCATCAGAACGGAACGCTGGGCATCGAACTTATTCTTGGCTAAGAGAATATGTGGTGTTCCAGTGGTTTTTACATGATTTGACATTCCACCTATCCCATTCATTGAAGTTTCAGAGGTCAATCGGAGTGTACAAAATTTATGTACAAAAGGGAGACAAATCAGTGGAAATTCCTTGCTCTCATGAATGGAAGACTTTGGAACAGGTAGTCATGATACTCTGTTTACCGCTCCTGCCCATCCGTAAAATTTTTCATTTTCTCCTAGTGCTATTGAAGCATATTCAGGTTGGTCTGGCATCGTTTCGCGATGGCATTTGCGAGCTAGAGAATATCGACGTGACTATCCGTTGCCCACGTTTGAGGTTGTCCGTCATCTATGTCATTCTTGATTACTGCTGTTGAATACTATATTTGCAGCGTTTCTTCTGTGAACTATAATAGTGGTAGACTAATCTCTGAAAAGCAACTACCAAGCGTCATCGTGCATGAAACCAACGGAGTGAGTAGACCCAGTTTGGCAGCATTTCATGTTTCGTAGATTACCACTGTATTACCTTATCGCTTTTGTTTTGTTTTGTTTCAGGTTTTTGCAATGCTGCATGAGTTGCAAAAAATAGCGGACTTGGAGATACAGAAGTCATGTCGTCGGATTCTTGCTCTTATTCCTGTCGATCCCACAGTACTTGCTGCCTTCACCGTCGAGGTGATTTTCGCGATCTTAAGTCACTTTGTTTTCATAATCTTTTCTTATTATGAAAAATGCTCACACAAGCGTAGGCCCTGTTCAATATCCATTAATCTTACAATTAGGAGAGCTAAGTACCCTTTTTGGCTATATAACTAAGTCTCTGGAGTCTCTATGGGCTGTTGAGGAGTTACAGAAATGCTTTTTTTTTTATCTTGCAAGGCCTTTTCTTTGATTTGGCCATTTTTCTCATAGTGTGCTGCAACATGGCTACAGACACTCAAAAACTTCAAAATACTACTCATCATCTCTATTTCCTTCCATGTTTTATAGGGGAACTATAACTTCACGGGCCATTTACCACTATGAACTTGCTGGCATTGCTGATATGAATAACTATGAATCTTCTGGTATGCGTCGCTTCGAATGCTTTTCTTGCAGGAGTCACCACCGAGAATTGGGCGCGGGACAACAAACGATGCCGTTGTTGTTGAGAAATTTCTGACTCCCTCTGACCCGTATAGATTGTTGTACACATTAGAGGTGAGAATTAGCGTTTTGAGTTGGTGTATCTCTCCTTGTTTTTTTTCTTTGTTCTAGGCTTTTCCCTTTCCCTTTTCCTGTGATGTTTCTTTTAAGGTGCTTTCTGGTTTGTTGGTGCCAACGTTTGCGAGCAAAATCACTGTAACTACTTCTAACCGACTTGCTCGTATCCTTATCAATTCGGTCGTTTACAAACATTTGTTAAAACTTATCGCATCGCCACATTTGATCGCTCCCATCACACCTTCGGATCGCACTCGGTTGTTCGAGCTACTCACATTGATTCTTCGGTGAGCTCTTCCTCAGTTGTCGATCTCCTCCACGAATATTGACGAAGTTTATAGCTGTTTTTATCTGGCGGCCCTAATTTTCAATGGCTCATTGGGTTTTTCAGTTTTTTAGCGGCAACCCTCTTTTTTCCCTTGATTGATCTTGTAAACTTACCTTTCAAATAGAACTTACTCATGCCGAGATGCCTGCGGACTCAAACAGCGTGGTCTATCTGTAAATTAAAGGATTGTTACATACTGCACCGCAGTTGTGATAGTGGTGAATAATTATTTGCACCATTTTTATTCAGTGTATTACTTCTTGGACAGTCAGTATTGTCTCACGCTATAACCCATGAGGAACAATGTTTGTCAAGCCTTCAAAACTTCAAAAAATCAGAACGCCGGAAAGACCCGCTCTATGAAGATTTATCAACACTGAGCATTGAAAGGTTCTCTTCATCCTAGAACTTTTCCCTCTGGAATTCCATTTAATGGTGCGACTTTCAGTTCTTCGGCTGTCGCTAACTTCAGCAATGATGAGTTTCTTAGCTTGATTACTATACTTCGTGACGCTGTTTGGCGCGGTGCGGCTGGATGGTTGCTGTACTCGATTAAACTTCCCATCTATCCGGATTATTTTGGTATCACACCAAAGTTCGTGTTTATTCTAAAAATTGAAATTGTATAAAGAGGATGCTAGGATTCTAAAAATTCAACAACCAACTAGTACTAGCTGTCCACTTGTCTTTGCAAAGAAAAGCTTTATTCTGAGAAGAATCATTTTTTTTTTGAAAGAATCTTCTTCCAGGAGCTGTGAAACACCGAATGACGCTCAGACGGCGGACAGTGTGTGGGTTGAACTCCCCATCTGTAAAGTCCCAGACGCTCGTTCTGCAACTGAGTCGATCCGCGGAAGTCATGCTCAAGGTTTTTCATTGTGTCCTAAATGGATTATGGTTTTGTTTTCCCCTAACATATTTAATGGTGTCAGTTTAGCTTTGGACAATCGCAGCGAGGCTCTGACGAACGATCTACTCCTTCTGATGGTTCGATGTATCAATATTCGGTTGAATACCTCTGAGGTATATAGTTTCTCTTCAAAAACGAAGTTCATAAGTATAAAATCTATAATCAGATGGACCAGGCAGTGAAAGAAAATCTGCTAAAGTTGTGTACGACTGGTTCGTGGCGTGAATTTTGGCTGGATATTCTTCTAAACACAGTAACCAGTGAAGTTGGTGGATTCGTGTGTTTTGCATCATTGCAGTTGGGGTAGTCCATAACCAATATCTTTGTATTTCAGCTTCGACGGCATGCAAGAGATGCACTTATGTGCATTGTTCGTTGTCCTTCGCTTGGAAGCAATATTTGTCAGATTCTCGCGTTGCTCCTTGAAACTGTTGAAAGTCCACCTTTCAGTAGGGAACGTGTCAAAAAAATTGGTGAGTGTTTTGCACAACCGGGTTTACCCATTTGTTTTGGATGTCTGGACAACTAATCTTCTAATAAATCATGCAATTGTTAGATGAGCTGAGTCGTCGCAAGCTAGCTAATAGTCTCGAAATGTATCTATGCCTGGCTTCTATACTGGAGTACAACCGATCAAACTCTGAAGAGGACGTTCTCCACATTTGGCGGATAGTAAAACGGGATCCGATGCAGGTTCGTGCTGAAACTCGAGTGCTATGTATCGGTGGCATGTAGTTGAGTTTTCTCTATATAAGCGTCTGTGGCAGTTTTTTGTTGAGTTGTTGCATTTTCTTTCATAATTTTCATATCATTAATAGGAAGCGATAAAATCTTAGAGCGTTAATCAGTTCAGTCTGAGCAATGCGCCCACGCATTTGACTTTAGTATCGTGGTTGCGTATTGAATGCGTATATGGCCTATACAGTAACCTGCGGGGGCATGTACAAGTTAGTGCCTTCGTCCTCCCAGATGGATCTGCTTCAAGTTAAGCCATCCCTGAGGGATGGAAAGTTCAGTTGGCCTGGGCGGATATCGATTCGGGATTCGAACTTGTGACCATGCGTGTGTGACATTGCGCTTTTTGCCACGACACCACCTCAGCCTTTCATGTCATTACTGTTCAATTACTGGAAGCTCTATTGTTAATAATACGATTGTGTTCGACCCTGAGCAAAAAGTTTTTGAATGTTTTCTAAACCTTAAGAAACCAGAGATGAACTCTCGCAGGAAAAGCATTAATCATCATACGATTTTTCTTGCGCTCGGAGTTGTGCTCTCAAAGCCTAAATGTTTTCAAAAACTTGGAAGCAACGTGCTATTACAGATTGCTTGGGAAATGTTCGATTATGTGATAAACACGGGTTCCACTTCCACCAATGATTGCATAAACGCTGACTTCATGTACGCAAAGTTGCGGGTAAGTTTAAAATATAGGTGTTTTTTTTTAAATACACATGATTCTTTTGGCAAATACTCTTTCACCTTCACACCATTTCTTAACTGGAACTGTAGCTTCGTTCCTGGATGTCCAGCGCTTTTTAGGTTCTCAGAGCCCTCCTCAAGTACAGTAGCCCTGAAGCGCGCAGGCAGATGGGTGAAAAATTTATGATCCCTATGTTGGGATGTTGTGTGTTTGCGCAGGTGCTACAGGGATCGTTTAGGTGAGCTTATCAGATTGTTGAGAATGGTTTAATTCATTGAATCTAGCTATGTCTGCTTTTTGGCTTTTCTTTCTTTTTTGAATAATTTTTATTTCACAGCAGCGTTTGGAGTGGAAAGAATCCGCTGTTCGCTCTGGAGGTCTTGTCTGATTTGACCGATGGCTGCCTGCAAAATGCTTTTCGATTAATCGAATGGCTTCAAAATTACTTTGGAACACTGCGAGAATTGGAATGGGAATATAGGGTTAGCGATTTTAGCAACCTCCTCAATTACTTCGCCTTGAATTGCTATTCTTTTCAAGCCAGTTTCGGAATCCCGGGTGCTGGATCACGTCGGTCTCCAAAATGGTGGCGGTACCTGTTACATGAACAGCGTGTTGCAACAATTGTTTGCTATTCCTGGGCTTGCCAGCCATCTCCTCTCAATCGAAGTTTCAAACGATCGTGAAAGTGAAAACAAGTGGGTAGTCGAAATTTACAAGTGGCTACGAAACACGTCTTTTCTGTTCATTTGACATTTCTTTTTTATGTTATTTCAAAGTTTACGCATTCCAGTCAACTGCTGTTAGCTCTTCAATCGGTATTCGCTCGTCTAACTATGACCCGATCTCGTCTCTATGTTCCTCGCGAGATGTGGGAAACATTCCGATTCACTGGAGCTGATAGATTGGATACTCGTCAACAACATGATGCAGTTGATTTTTTCACAGAATTGATTGATCGAGTGGATTCGGCCTTGGAAGTAGGCGTTTTGAAAGTTTTCTGGCTTTTTTCATAGGAAGATTTTAAAATGACGAATATCCCATCCCTTTCAGTTATTTATTTATCGGATATTCTTTCAGTCAGAGAAGAAGCCGCTGCTCTTCCGGCCTCGATTACGTGGGAAATTCTCGTATGAGTACATCTGTTACGGCTGTTTTCATCGGTATTGGTTATTTTTAGCTTAGCTAGTTTTTGCATGTTTGATTCTTTCAATCATGCACTCGAAATGTGTTGACGCTGCCCTAAACTTCAGGCATATCGGTGCGGATGAAGAATTCCTGGCAGTGAATCTCGAACTTCATGGCCCATCATTGGAAGAGTGCTTGGAGCATTATGTGAACGGCGAGTTGCTCGAAGGAGATAATGCGTATTTCTGTAGTAAGTGTCAAGAGAAGGTAAGTTACGAACTAATCATATGCCAAAGAAGCATTCAGCGTCGGCACTTCCAATTTGCTTCAGAGAAATACCCTGCGGCGTGGCTCGTTTTGCGAATTGCCAAATACATTGGCTATCCAGCTGAAGAGGTTTTCATATGATATCAATGGTCGTATAGATAAAAAGAATGACTTCTGCTCTGTAGGTTCAAGTACCCATTTTTCATTTCCCATCGGTGGTCAGCATCACCGGAATGATTTTTCAGTTCCCAATGGTTCTTGATATGACATCATACTGTACACAAGCACGTGCTATTTGCGACCAAGATCTGAAGTCTCTTTTTGATGATGTAAGTCTTTGGTTATTCAGTTTCCCTTTTTTCGGCCATTTCTGGGAAATTTCAGTATAAGCTTCCACCCATTTAGGCTTTATTTGTTTAATTGGTAGGGCACTTATCTCACAATTAGTCGGTGGAATGCAAGAAACCCTGTCGATTGGGGTTAGATCTTGCCCGTTGAAAACAACTGTTTGAAAGTTTGTGTGCTTTTGTCCGTGATTAGAGTAGTTTTATTTGTTCTCATGGAGAGCGCAAAAATGCTTCCTAATAACTTTGCAGCTGCTTGTGAAAAAGCGGCGTGACCGCACTCATCTTGGACCGAGATCAAAAACATACTTACCTCTGGATGAGTGAGGCATATTCGATTATCTACCTGTTTGTCAAACTCCCTTTGCATGCTGGCTGCAATCTCAAAATTGTTTGTGAGCTCTTGAGAGATAAGCCTGATTTGTTATGTCTATGTAATTAGAAAGGGTAACCTTCAAAAATATAATCAGTCGTTTCGAACGGAACTATTGTACTGAGCACATACAGGACTTCCTTCGGGTTCCACTTTTATGCAGTACCTTGATATTGGGAAATAATCCAGAAACTGTAAAGCATGGCTCAATACTTGTGTTTTTTAGGTTTATAGTAGCGAGCAGGACGACAACTCAAGTATAGGTGAAGAACAGGAGGTGAAATGTCAAGGCAAGTTTGTGCCGTAGTTCGGCATACATGGCTGATTGATTATTTTTTCCTTTTCAGAAACGCACCATAGTCCAAGCTCCCCAAGCAGATGGGGCAGAAAGAGACGGAAAACCTCGTCGCTTCCCAACCTCGTCAGTTGTCACGGCTTTCAAATTTTCAAAACTAATGGCTTGTCTTTGTTTACTTTCGAAGGGTTTTTTTTTTCAGAGTGGTGTCGAAAGCAACTTGTACGAACTTGTGGGTGTGGTGGTGCACTCGGGTGGAGCACGAGCGGGGCACTATGTTTCTTACGTGAAAGAGCGCAGGTTCGCGTATTTCAGCTATTTACGAATTGTGAGAATTGAAGTTCTTTTTCGATTGACCATTTGATTTCGAACTCATATAATTAAATAGTGATGGTCTTGATTACTGTGCGTACACTTAACTTATTGTTCAATGAATAACATCATTAGAAGCTTTTTCGCGTTGTCCGCAATGTCTATTCAAATCCAGGCCTGAGATGTTCAATACCTTTACCTACGGACAATGGGTGGAGCTGAACGATGCAGAAGTGCGTATATTTTCTGGAACACCTGAGGCAATGGAATGCGAGTGGTTTGGCGGATCGTTCACTGCTTCTCGTTAGTAGCTGATTTATCCAATGCTGTACACTTGGAACTTGTCTACTCATTATGACATCTTCAGCGAATGCTGCGTTTCCTTCTCGAGTCGATCTCCCTAAGGAACGGCTTCGATCTTTCAGTGCCTATGTATTATTGTACGAGAAGAAAGAGGCCAGGTACTCACTTTATGGATCGTCACTGTTTCTCATGAAAATGTTTTTCTCTTCAGGTCAGCTGCTGTAATTCAAATGGGAGATACAACTCGTTTACCCAATCACCTACTCACTGCTGTAGAGAGTGAGAATATGTCCTTTCTAAAGGTACGCAACATAACGGCTAATAGCTATCTGGACATCTAGCCCAGGATTATTTAGGAACGCGACTTGTTCTCTTCAACTTATGGTTACGCTGTTTGTAAAACTGTATCAAATTTCGTCGCTGAATTGGAGTGTGGTGATGGCCATAAGAACGAGGAAACTTCGAAAATGGCCGTCGTAATATTTAGGGTCAGTCACCGTCGTTTTATAATACAAATTGGGCTCCGCCCACTCGAGAATCTGGCCGTAGTAGGCTATGGCGGTAATAGGTTGATGCAACAGGTTCGGGTACGCTTAACTCACCCCGTATCCCGATCGTCTGGATTGATGTTCTATTTTGAATCTTTTCCTTCCGGTTTTTGGGCTTCTCGGAGTAGAATAATGAACTTGCCCGAGACTACAAGCATCCCAAGCTCGACCCATATCTTCGGGTTATGCAGATAGAAGCGAATTGCTTGCCTATAGTAAGTGATTATGATGATTTCATAGGTAGTAAGTAATTATGATGACTTTCTATATTTTTTCTATTATCTCGAAACACTTCTCTCTCGCGTTTTGAAACGTTTCCGAACAGAGTTATGGATCATTGATCTTAACCCCGCCCCTAGGTGCAAACCCCGCCCATCTCAAAAACTCGCCCACTTTCTTCTACTACCTCTAACCACTTTTTCTCCACGTTCTAGAACGTTTTTGTACAAAATTATACATGTTTCTAAAAGGTAGTTCCCATTTGAGCGCACGTTTTGTCCATCGTGGGCGCAGCTTCGCTAAGTTTATGCATGCCCAGCATGCATGAGGTCTTGGTCACCCCTTTATTTTTTGTTGCCCCGTGCTCTCGTTGAAAACTCCGCCGACGTGTGTCGGTCGGTGGAAATAATGTACATTGGGGAATCTGAAGGCAACTATTGAATCACCGGGATGCCTAGGTCCTGATGAAAAGACAAATACCGTTACGATTTGCTTGAAGTCCAAGTGAAGGCGTTACACAGAAAAGCTTTTTAGTACAGTTTCCTCTTAACTTGCGATAATGTACCTTTTGCAGATGTTTTTTGATTATTGCCGGAACGCATTGTGGCGACTTTCCTATGAATCGCGAGAGGCTCGTCTTCTCGAACTCTCGTTCGAATCAGTTCGTAGACTCGTTCGATGTTCATCTAGTGTTCGGCTGGTATTTTTCCAGCTTCTTGTAAATTGCAATTATCAGGTGAATTGTTGCCCGTGCATTTTGACTTGGTTTTCAAGGATCTAGTGCTTCAGATCTTTTTCACTATGTTCTCGAGTCCGGATGACGTCTGTAGTGCTTGGTGGCGTTTAGTCAGTGATGCTTTATGTGAATGGATGGAAGACTTTGATTATGAGCGGTTACCGAAATCCTCAGCGAAGCTGCCTCAAGAAATTGTCGCTCGGATAATTACGCAGATCAAGTGAGCGGGCTTCCCTTTCTGATATTATGGTCGTTTGCCGTCTGCTGTCGCCGCCTGGGTGTTCAACAACAATCACAACTTATCTCATAACCCCATTTTGTTAGCTTCCTCCTTATCGAAGTCTTGCTACGGTGGACTAAGTGGGCGTTTACCTTCATTTCAACCCTTTTTAATGTTTATTCTTTACAGATGTGTGGATTCTGCTCATTCATGTTGTATACATGGAGCAGTTCGTTGTTTGAATAGTTTCGCTCGGAGTAGTCATTCTGCTGCCATACGGCTGATTGGGGCAGGTATTATGCCGGTGATCTGCGAACATGTTACGAATGATTGGTCGGTGGTGAGTTTTCATATCAAAATACGTCCCACACTGGGTTAGCTACCCTACTTTTTCATAAAACATAGTTTAACTATTTTCATTGTTTTCGCTTGTTCTGCTGAACAGGAGCCTTATCTGATTTGTGGGGTGGGCTAACTTTCTGTCTTTTTATACGTTACGAATTGCGATCAACTTTTGCAGTCCACCCGTGTACAAGGTCGTGGTGATTTGAGGAGTAATCGACAGCTGACTGTGGATTTTCTCTCTTTGTATGCAACATTACTGGTTCACATTCGTGATGATCCATGTTTCAAAAAGGAGTTTCCATTGGAAAATGGGGATAGCTTTACTTCGTGAGTTTTCTTGCTATTCACAATGATCTATTGAAGCTCTGTAGGGTGTACCACCCATTTGAATTGTTCGAAATAGGATGGAAACATTAAACATCGTATGTTTATCCTTAAAATGCCATATGAGTTTTGTAAGAGAGAAAGTGGCCATTAGCAATACGTACATGTCCATAAGATCAGGAGCACCACAACCTAGCTTATTCAAGCCTTCCATCCTTCTAGGGTCGGTTAGTTTGCCATTAGTTTGCTAGGTCGACCCTCGCATAATATTTTGGCCCCACCCCTTTGAGGCTTTTTTGGGTTAGTGCTGGATATGACTTCCTTCTTTTGACTGAATTTTACGATTATTGATGATAGTTATCATGTACTTTATTATGTTTCATATTTTGCTTCTTTTTTGCTATTCATATTTTTATTTAGTTTACCTACGAATTGTAGTAATATTGCTGCTAATTTCACTAGCTAACTCTTTTCGGATTTGAGTGATTCTGAGATCCAACTTCGATGCGCATATGCTATCCCTTGTGAGCTTACGATATTACTTTTCAGAGTATTGGTATGGATGTACATAGAGTTCTCGACGGACAAGAAAATGTGTCATATTATCGAAGAGATATTTTGCTTGATTGAGCAGATCAGACCTAACTTCCTCGAAAGTGTAGTGAACTTTTTACTGATGGTATTATCTCTAATATTCAGTTGTTTGGTCTACAGGAAAATAGGGGCTATATCTTTCAGGAACTGAGTAGAGTAGAGTGTGTCGAACTCGCCAAAGAAATAGTGAGATTTGTTGTAAACATCTGCCGAAGACTTGACGATGGAAATGTGAGCAACGCTTTTCGTTATTTCGCGATTCTGCTGGACGGCTGCGAAAGGAGCGACTTCATCAACGAGGTAGCATTTGAGCTATCGTTAATCTTCGAGAAATAAGGCATTACGCCTGCCTTATTCAGTGTGAAGTGCCAAAGGGTCTGATCAGTCAAGCCGAAGAACTACTGGTACATTGTGAATACGATAGAGTTAGGGCTATCCTAGAGAGCTTGGCAAGGTGGAAAGAAGAAGGCACGATGGATCGCAGGTGGATAGGAATCTAATTTGATGTTTATAGAAACTATAGATTGACTTAGTGAATATCCTCGTCTTAGGATTGCTGAAGTCTACAATGAAGCCGATCGCTTTGATCGTATCGCATGTTGTACTTTGCGATTGGCTGAAGAGGAAAGTGCTGCTATCGCAACAGGAGTGGTTGGAGAAGGTAAGATGATTTTAAATTAGGATTCATCTTCCCTACCATTGCCCCAAACAACTATTGTCACTGGAATTAGCGTTATTTGATTGAAGCTTACTTCCTAATCACCATTAGAATCGATTCTATACGCTAACAAATTGTGCCTAATATACCGATTTTGTTGAAAACTTTAAGATTGGCAGGAGATTCATTGTTCTGATTAGCATAACCTTTGATCTAGTAGAAACTGAAGGCATAAGTATTATATTCGGTTTCGATTGTACGAATTACTCGCTGCTTGTGCCTAGCTGTGGGGAAACTATCTTTGTGAATTTCTGCGAATCGTGGAGATTTTATTAAGCGAACCAGAGTTACCCACCCCAATCGTTTGAGAGTTTATGTCTCACTCTGTAAAGTGACTCTCAAATTATATAGTTGTCCCTCGTCACTTAATGGTTATCCTTTGTCTATTGCGAATTACTTCCCTTGGCTTGGACACTACTTCTCTTGATCATAATCAGGGTTGAAATTAGGGCAGTTCCCCTATTTTCTATTCCACTAATATTTCGACATGAGGATCGATTTGCGTCGATTGATTGTTTATCGAACCACTTTCATCAGACAGATCTCAGATGTATTTTCGTAATATAGCACTTTGCGAAAACAAAACAGAAATGCTTTGTTTGTTCTCTCTCCCCACTATCCCAGCGGTCGGTGTCTAGAACTACTGACATTACCCTACTTGATCTGGGCTATGTTCATTCGGAGAATCTGCGGACCATGCGTAGGGGTGCTCCTCAAACTTTGCTCAAAATCATATTATTTCGACTCTGAGAGAGTTGAGGCATTTATTGTCATTCCTCTTATTTAGTCCTGAAACGATCCTCATTGCGCTCCTTTGGTTCTGAAATAAGCTAACCTAAAATACTAGTCAGTATTAAGCACGGTATTACCTCCTAATTCCAATTCAGTTTTGTGCAAAGCCAATACAGTAAGGTGGATCTGGAAAACTCATAGTAAAACGCACAGTATACAAACTCAAATCAGTTTCTCTTACAGTGTACTGTAGCCTTTCGTTTTCCAGTGGGCGTTGGAATTCATCGGGAGAGGTTGGATCCTGTCGAAATGTATTATCGAAATCGCATTTCTAAATTACATAAAGATTGCGGAACTGATGAAGCTCCATTAGTGGATGAAATTCCCCATAGAAACGAGTATGAAGATGATATTGACGAAGACGACGGCATCGGATTGAGGTAGAGCTCTTGACGCTTTTGATTCGCGTCTTGTTTTTGCTGATGCTGTAAAGTCGTTCGAGCATCTACTAGACCCATACGCTAAGCGCTAGCACGAAATCCAGCTCTTGAGTGGGCGGATTCTTGGGATATGGGTTACATGATACAACTGAGGGTGGAGCAGTACAGGTTACAACGATACCGACTGGATTTGAAGCACAGAGTGCAGCTGTATAAGATGTTAGAAATCTGTGAAGTGTGAATGTGTAGCATTGTGGGTTTTTAAGCTGCATGCTAAACCCCTTTTAATGTAACCCATAACCCACATTTTCAGTAAACTTCCAAGCAAACGAGACAGTTTTTAGCCCACCGTCGCTGACACCGACAATCACGGAATTTGATGACGTCGTCGAACAGGAATAGTGTCTTTCTATTGAAAATGTCTGTATAATTTACAATAATATGCTGTAAACACGCTTATGTCAATGATTAGTGTTGAGTTGATTTCTACTTAGTGGTCGTCTGCATCGTCTAAGTGTATAGAGACTTTCTTTTTGCGCCCAGTATATACGAAGAGGGCATCAGCAAGGATGAGTCATCGCGGACACGGTACGCGACACTCCACAAACGCGCGCGGTGACCCAGTTTCGTGCACGGTGGCATCTTTTGACCCATACCCTTTGTAAGTAATGTATGTTGAAAGTTTTGTTCTGGATTTATCGAAGCTATTGTCTATTGTTACATGTCATTGTTGCACTGTTATGTTGACGTCAGTTAGATGATAGGCTTTTCCATCTTTGTTTCCTTTGTCTTGCCGCTCAAGCAGCTGCTGCTCACTACGATGTGCCCATTGTAGATGGTGAGTGAATGTCGCGTGCGCTTGTTACGGTTCAAATCGCCGGTATTTACTATGAAGTATCCGTCATACTTGTTGTTCCAGTGTATCGATCACTTGAAATGTGCCTTAAATACCATTGCCTGATATCACTATTGTGCTTTAGCAGCTTTGATTTGTAATTATCGTTATGGTGTTCAACCTATTAAAGAAGTGTTCAATTGTCCTATTGAATTCCAAAAAACCTGTCAGAAAGAAGCTCTTGATGGCCGGCAATGGCCTTTTTTGGCTTGAAATACATGCCTTTGTGATCTGAGTCTGTGTGTCTGTGTGTAAATAACGGGTTAATGTGGCGAATTCCCGGCCAACACAAATAGCCGGACGCCCGTCGTCGATTTTCAGGTTTTCGAGGACCACTGAGGATTATATGGCCACTTCGAACATTGTCACTTCGATGCTTTTTTTTGAGCATTCACATTTGTTACGTCAGTTGCGAACACCACCGTCCTTTCATGTGTCGACTCCCATGACCAAGCATTTATAA